TTTTAATATCACCGCCTCTCACTTCTTAACATATATAAGCCTATCCAAAAAGAAAAAAGGATCCCCCTTTTTTGGATTGGACGCTACATCAACGTTATTAACAAGAAATATTCCTGGCATCTCTTCTCTTAATCCAACTGTCCATTATATTACCAGATTTAAAGTCTATTGTCTTGGTCGATATTATTGTTTAAAGAGATCTGCATATTATCCTGTCAATAAAGAAGTTCTTTGGTTACTCTCCTACACAAATAAATATCAAATATATTGTTGCTGAAACTATTCAACTCAGACAATCAAACTTTCACAACAAGCAGTGCAAATGACGTAATACTAAAATTGGCCGTGGATAATTTGAGATTAATATTAAGCATTATTTAATCTTACTATTTCAATTTACGAAAGTAGACAGTCAGTCTACCAGAACTTGGAATTCTTTGAGGCTGTACTTATTGTTCTCCCATTTCTTACTTCTATTCTTGCAAAAATAGCCGTACTGAAGAAAGTTGCTCTAGATTTGCTCTACATTTTTTAAATAGTATATGAAGTATCAGTGTTACTATAATGAAGTCAGAGACATTTTTGTTTAGGTCATCGCACTGGTTGTAGTATTACTTGTTTACTTACAAGATAAAGGTGTTCGTGCGAGCTATTGTACAACTTACATTATTATCGCACTTACCTGTGGACTGTTACTTGGATGGAGTATTGGTTCCGTTCTACAACAAATATTCTTCATCAGAACTGTCGTAAGTTTGCTGTGATATTTCATACAGATAAGAAGAGCAAGAGAAGCAAAAAGTAAATAAGAGGTGGGAATGAAGGAAATACCACGTATATGTGGAAATCAAAGTGGGGTCGAAGAAGTGAGGAAGTGTGCTGTCGTAAGAATGCCATGTTCCGTAACATGCTTTTGTCATCATTTGATTATTATCTTATTTTTATGACTACAAATATTCCTATCACATCATTATCATTTTCAACGATACTACCTAAATCGCTGTCGTTATCATCGCAGCTGATAGTTGATAGCGATGTTAATAACAATGACTGTTTTTATGCATCAAATGTGAAATAATTTAAGCTGCTTCCATCTGCAGCGACAAATAATGCATTTTGTTAGAATAATAACTGACAAATGTGATAAGAAGCAAATAAGGTGTACTTATATACTCCTTATCACTTTTGTTTTATGTTAGATCAGGAAATCGAAATGAAAAAAAAAGTGCCACTATCATTTTTATGGACTAACGCTAACTATTACAACTGAAGACATTATTAAGCGAAGCATTTTCATTATTGATGAAGCTGAGCAAAGATGATGTACCATATGGAAGCTGTGGAAGTGCCAGCGCTTGTTAAACATAGTGGCAGATGGGGAAAATGTTGAGAAATAAGCATTCTTCTGGGAGAGGACCTAATTTGATCAGCATCGGAAGTTCGAAAAAATAGTTCCAAAGAAGAGTTCAAGAAAATGGTTCTAAATCCTACTAATGGTGTTTCGGAAAAACTTTTTCCCCGAAAAAGTTTGGAAAAATAATCCCAAAAACGTAAGATATTGAACGAAAATTTTCTGAAGACACACTTTTAAGACTTACTCTTCTGCTTCATGTTTCTATTTTGCAGGACTCCCTCTGTTATCTTTATAGATCACACTCAAGTGATCGCACTGCTTTGAAAAGAATCCTCTTTAATTCCATCTTATCATTAGTCAAGGGCAATCTCATCTTCTCCTTCATTTGCTGTGCAGTTTTTTCCGTACCCTTTTTATCAAAGTTCACTATTCCACAATACCTACAGTTTAAAAGTGGATAATCCTAACATTCGTTTAATTTGTTAAAAAAAAAACTAAGTTCCTGCAAGTTAACAAATTATACATTAAAATTGATCGTAAAAATTAGTTCTGCTTGCAAGCAGAACTAATTTTTACGATCATTTCCTTGAGAGGCTAAGTCAGTTCTTCTTTTGAAGAGAATTTCATGTCCTAGATTCCAACTTGCACAAAAGACTCAGAAAAATACTTTTGTAAAAAAAATGATGATAGTGACGGGGTACTAAAGACTCTTTGAATTATTGAAATAAGAGTTGTCTTTTTCGGCACTTTTCCGACCAAACAAAAGGAAAAATAATGGAAAGTCATCAGTTGAAGCCGTCTTCAAGCCTACTTCTTGACATTCATTCATCCATTTTTCTTATCAAAACTCGTAAAACATTCAAATTTTAAATAAATGGTTGTAAAAGCTTACGACCTCATTAAACTTTCCATCTTAAGTGTCTAACATTGCCCAAGATAAATTATTTAAATTACATGTTGGGAGAAACATGTTATTGACTGAGTTCCAAGAGGTAAAACAATCCAGTTCATCTTTCCCATTTTCCAGGAGATAATTGTGAACACAATCTTGACAGTACTTGCAATTTGTTCGCTAATTGTCGCAGTGTCATTCTTATTGGAGCGAAATGACTGGAGCCGTTATGAAAGTTATCGGTTGATGGTCGGAACGGCTGTAGGTTTATCCCTGGATTACTTACTGTATTAATAATCAACTGTTTATAAAAAGACTGGGATAAATTTAGCCTCTTGAATTTTCAGATCTGCTTCCTAATCCAATCAGTTGTTTGCATAATGATGCTGTCTTGGGCATTTTATGGAAATCTCGTCATTTTTGAAAGCCGCTAAAGCACAGTGGAAGATGGGTACTAGAGGTGAGATGAATATTCCTATGCATTTGAATTGTCTATTGCAATAGCTCATCTCGCGATTTTTTCCTTTATTTTTATATAATACTGTTTAATTTTATTTCAAAACGGAAGATACGAAAAGTTAGACAACAAGGAAATAGGAGGCACTGATAGCTCTGACATGTCATCACATCTTGAATGAAAAACTGGTATGAGGAAAGATGTACCTGAAAATTAATTTTCTAAAAAGCGATTTTTCTAGCTTTTCATTTATTTATATTTATATTGATTAAGACCTGATTAAACAGATGATAACAGAAGGTATTTCGCACTTTTATATTCTTCAGTTCACAGTTTTTTTTACTTTTTTAAATTCTAATGTTCGTCCAAGGAAAATACAAAAGTAGGAGGAGTTACTCCTTCCTACTTTAACATTGAAACGATGAATTATATTCCTTCAAAGTAATCTGAAGGAAGAATTTGCAAAAACTAACGTTGCAGCTAGCGCCAACAGTGGATTGGGATAGCTCACTTTAGGATGCGAACCCATACAAGCACCCATGTCAATATGTGTGTACCTAGAAACGTACAATTATATGTTGTATCGTATAAGCTCTGAAGTATTAGAGTATTTCATTAATGATTTCACTGCTGTCTTTTTTGTAACAGTGCAATCATTAATGTTTCTAGCTTTCCTTAATGTTTCTGGTGTTATTTTTTTAGCTTTCCTCTAAAAGTAAAACATATAAGGGAAGTATAAATGATGATTTAATATTAAGATTTTTAAAAGAAAGAAAATATTACGCAATAGGGGTTTTTGAGTCGCAACCATGCTCATCCAATCTTGAACCTTTTAAAAGAAATGCAGCTGGTCCTTGATGACCACGCAGTGTCCTCACGGATGGTAGTGTATTTGATTGTCGTATGTCTGCTGCTTCACTTTCAGCCTCATGAAAATCAAAGTCCTGAAAGCAGAAGTCTCCTATGCCTCTCTTGGTACCTTAATTTGTCAGCATTCACTACCGTTAGTGGAACGCTGAACTGAGAGAAGGGAAAATTTTCGTACTCTGAAAGCTTTAGAAAAATCCAGAACTAAATGAAAGGTCGGTATTTCGCTCCAAAACCTTAAGTGAAAACTCTTCATTCCACTTCTTGCTAGAATAATAAGATGGTATTAATTAGACAGCTTTATCTTTTAAATTCTAAAAATCTTCACCTCCCAATGTAACCGTGATACTTCAACAGGCTGTCCAAATATATCACCCCGGCTACGAATTGTTTCAGCGGTGTGATTTGCATGTGCTGGACCATTATCCATTGCTGCGGCCATGTAGCCGTAGCTGAGTATGCAATGACCCGTTAACGTAGCCAATGTGAATAATCGTGGTTTCTTCTCCAGTTTGGCCTAAGAATGGTAAGAAAAGGAACTGAACAGAACAAATATACATAACAGTGTGATTGCTTAAATAACTCAGCTATATTATGATTTAATATCTTACTAGTTCAAGCATCTTCGTCAGAGGGTCAAGCATCGTGATGCGACCTTCTGCGTCAGTGTTGCATATTGCAATACGTTTACCACTACGTGAACGAATGATTTCATCGCACGTATAAGAGTTCGAGCCAATACTGTTTCGGACCATGCACATGTAGCCACAGAACTGTAAATTAAATTCTTCTCAAGTGTTGACATCAGCCTACAAAAACATCAGGATATAGCTAAATATCTCAACATGCCTTTTCATCATTTACCTCAACTCGAAATTACTGGATGAATATGCAAGAGTGAACCTTAACATGTTTTGGCTTCAAAATTTCCAAAGCTTTGAAAATACCAGCAACAACTGCAGCACCATATTTATCGCGACACATTCCATACATATTTCCATCTGTTTTCAAATCCGCGCCACCAATATCTATTGTAACACCTTAAAAATCACAATTGACCCATCAATCACTTGTTTACATGCAAGTCTCAAAGTTAACCTTTGCCGACGAGCATGATCGTCTCGTTACAAGGATTTTCTGGATTATACTCAAGCCATATCAAACGAGCCTGATGGCCTTTAACATTATTTGCCGCACGATTTACAGCTGCCATGAGAGGAAATTCGCGCTCAATTTCCTGAAAAATTGGATCTTTAATTCCAAAAACGAACATGAAAAAGTAAAATATGCAAACATGCGTACTGGCCTATTTAATAAGAGACGCAGTTCAATCAAACTATCTCAAAATTTAACGCTTAACTTAACTCAGTTTTAAACAAAATTTCTACAGTATCACAATCATTTCAAACTTACGCTGATATCAGAAATCACGCGAGTGCTGATGTTTGTTCCATTAAATGCATTAATGATATACTCTGCAACGTAAGGTGGTGACATCCGCTGAGGATCCGAATCACCTATGTCTCGACAAACTGTAAATGCCGCGTCAAGTGCTTTCACTAATTCCACCAACGCCTGAAAACTTGTTCTTGCTTCGTTTTCTCTGATCAAAATAATAATTACAATCCCACACTTTCCTTCACAAATATTTTAAAAATCCAAAACTCAACTCCTGGTCATAGTCGAGCGCATAGAAACCGATAACATCAACTTTGGTCTTTTTTTCTTCTTCTCGCACATTCAGTGGTACATAAAGTTCATGCATTGCGCCAAGAGCTGATACCAATTCTGCTTGTGGATATTTTTTATGTGGTAAAGTTAAAATCAACGGTGCTTTCATACCAGTTTTCAAAGCTCTGCAACAGCAATTATTGTATGATATATAAATTTTTTAATATCATTGTAATACAAAAGGAAGAAAGGAATTGTGCAAAAAGGTTTCTATTCAAATATATCTAGATTTTGAACTTTTTGCATTAAATTTGCCTATCATTTCGGACTGCCTTTTACTTCTACCTAAACCTAGAATAACAAAATTTATTCCTTTCCCAATTAGATAAAAGATGGTGAAATCCGTTTACTTACAATTTCATACCATTTCGAGCAGCTATGCCGAAACGGCGCACATCATCGTGATCTCGATTAACTGGTCCTGTTCCTGCAAAAATCAGCTTTCTTGATGGAAGGAAATTCCCATCAACCAAAATAAGTGTTGTAGCATTTTCGATATCTTTATGAATCTGAAAGGAAAATCACATCGAAAATCGCATGTTTCGAAAATCACGTCCTAACATATTTCAAAAATGCTATATTTCAGCTACAATTATAAAAAATAAGACTGAAATAGAGGAAGTACATGAAAATAATTCTAAAATTGATCAAAATTTAATAAAACGATATTAAAAAAATAATGTTCTATGATAACCTCAGAGTAGGCAGTAATGCTTGGTAACAATGGTTTCAGAACTTCATATTTTCCGCTTTCCGAAAGGGAATGAGCTACGTAGACAATTCCGTCATAAGCATTATCGGTTATTGATTTAGCAGCGGATATTTGTGTTGATAAGTAACTGAAATTTAGGGAAAGATTTAATATCATTAATCCATTTATTCCATATGATTAATTCTCATAGAAGTTAATAAATTTTGAAGCTAAGATGATGTCATTAATCTGAATTGCAAATTTCACGAATCCCAAGATATATTTTCCAAAGGACGAGCACGGGAAATTTCCTGTGAATTTTCAAGTAAATAGGGTCAAAGTATTAGATAAAAAAAAAAAAAAAAAAAAAAAAAAGTGAACCTTTCGATAGATGGAGATGATGACATTTTCAGTTATAAAGCAGCGACAGTAATGGAAAGGAGTGTGATGAGGGAACTGATGGGTTGATTATCGTCACTCATAATATGATTATTGGGCGGAACTAAGACTAGACCAAATATGACTGCGTATGGAGAGAAAGATTTGATGGATGGGCTGTCGGGCAGTTCACTGGGGATAATTGTTTTGCATTGCATATGGCAATGAATGAGTAAACAGACTGAGTGCAAAGTACGATGGAAAGACCAGGCACAAGTACTGGAAACTTGTCTAGACTGGCTGCGAAATCAGTGTCGGGTCATATTTCATCACAGTTAGCTCCTGTCATTCTGTACACTTCATCATCAATTCACACTCCGTAATCATCTCCAACTACTGCCAACAAATTTCCCTTCCACTCTCTCCTACAGAAATTCACCAACACTCGCTGGTATCGGCAAAAAGCAGTTCCTATTCACAACGAGAATATCTACTCCACCACTTTACTTTTACACACTCTCCATCCAGTACCAAATTTGTAGCTAATGCCATAATGTAAACAGCATTCAAAAATTTGTCGATCAGCTTATCGAAATGAAGGAGAGACTGTCTGGTAAACCGACATACTTTTTTTTTATACTATAAAAATATGTCCAGATAATCAAAATATCTTTGCATTATAGCAATACCTCAGAATAATTAAGTAAATTCATAAGGATTGTTATACTTTAATATTTGTTAGATGAATGATTTGTTACACTCAAAAAATAGTCTAATGTGACAATCATTAATCACACTCTCATACTCTGACCTAACCTTATCTGTGACATTCAGATATCTGAGACAGATGAATGTCAGTATACTGTAAAGAATCCCCAGTCTAATCGTATCCGTAATTAATGGATTGTAAAGAAGCTCTAGCTGCACAAAGGCCAGTGGCTAAATATTGTAAATATACTCCCACTATATAAACTGAGAGAATCTCAGGGATTCAACTATTCATTCAACAGTCATATATCTACTCATCTGCGCAACAATACTCGACTTGTATCAGTTCAACAACTGGTGATGATCAACTCTGATATTCCCTAACAATTCTCTTATAACATGTATAAAGAATATTTCCCCCATCTACCAACAAACCTTTACCAAAAATATCCGACTGTGCCTACAAAATAAAAAACTTTTACAAGACAGACTTCCAACTACAACATTCACCAGCACGCAACATTTGATGCAGAACTAAATCTTTACTGATTATATAAAGCAAAAATTTTTAGAAATAACGAACTTGCAATTGAAAGGACATATATCTGTGCTTACGACAATGTAATGCGGCATTCATTGTTGCAATTTTTCATGAATACCATAGAAAAGGTAATTAAACAACGGAATAAGCACTAAGGAGAAAGTAAAGTGAAATGGAGTTTAACAAAACCATACAACCACCCACGTGTGTGTATGCTTAAAATGGAGTTCACTTTGCGAAGAAGACGGTATCATACATGAAAAATGGAAGATACGTGATTCGAATTCGAAAATGTTTGCTTGGAGTTCGAAATGAAACAACAAAACATTTCGAAAACTGAAAAGCGAGATGACTGGATAAAGCATGAAATCATCTTATTTCATGAAAGAAGCGATAAAAAATAAAAAAAATCCGTTCAAGTCAGAATTACAATGAAAAAAAGACCATTGATCAATCTATCATTTCAGCAGAGAGAAGACGGCTTAGGTATCTCTTTAAGAAAAAAAAAGTGAAATTTATAAATTTAATCAATAAAAGCTCAATTCCTCTTTATCTGAGGAAAATTTAAGAAGTACTACTTCAGAAGAGTGAAACAAAATTTATCAAAACACCGATAATATTGAGAAACCCTTACATAAAAGTTGCGTAAAATGTTACAGATGAAAGATCTGAGGAAAATGAAAAACTGTGTCACGTAATGACCAATAACTTCGAAACAATTTGCAAAAAAGATAAAACCAGCAACACTTTCATCAAACTTTTTAAAGCATTCACTGACAGCCTACGCGAGTATTAAACATAAAGGATCTCCTTTCGCCTATCTTCGAAGAGAATTCTCAAAACCACTGCATTTCAAATGAGGTCACACAAAGACAAAACTATTACGATGACAGGTATATCAGTTCAAATCACAAAATTTTAAGTTATTCATACCATCGAGCTCAGTGAAGAAAGCATGTTTTGAAACCCGCAAAAAGTATTCTAGCTCGATCCTGCTGCATCAAATTAACTCGGAAGATAACCTTGATACACGATTATCTCGCATAATTCGACAAAAATCTAACAACAGCATATTTTTATCCAAGATTGAATTTGATATACGGAATCTCTACATCCTCATCATCCTTATTATTGGCTATTACTTCAAGAACAATTGATTGCACATGATCTGGAATCTTTTTTCTTGTCACTTCCTCCACGACCTCTTTCATGCTAAAAATTAAAAGTTAGTACCCTTCATTCTTTTATCACTGTTTAAGAAAAAGCTATAGAAAAAGCTGTTTCTCTCTTATCCTTCATCGTTCCGTTTTGTTCCCGAACATAATAAAAATAAAATAGCCAGTGCAATCAATACTTATACCTTATAACAACTTTGTGATAAAGCTAGATTTATTTCCAACCCATACAGTGAACAATTTCCCTCATAAAAATGCCGAAGAAACTCACTCTTGCTCCAAGCGCTCCATTCTTTTATCACTGCTTAAGAAAAAGCTATAGATAAGTGACACTCCACATGACATCATCGTAACATCCAGTCCGGTTTCCTCCTATAAATTACGGGTACAAACACAACAAATAGCAATACCATTTTTACATTGGTATTTGAGAATTTACTGGCTGTTAGAAGAAAAAATTTCCACGAATTTGCAGTCTCGGATTTCAGCAAGCATAATCCATAACAATTATCTAAAACAAAATGACAGAAGAAAGTTTCAAATGTTTCGTCCTCAGAATCAAGTTTTCTTTGGGTATGAGATCGGATATTTTGGGAGAAAAATTAAAATGGATGAAGATGCGACTTACTTTGATCCACTGAATTAATTCCTTCATTTTTTTCGGTCCTTGTACTTCGAATCGGTCCCACAGCGTAAAATATCCATCCGCACACTGTAACGGGCAAAAATATATATATATCAGTAAGAACCGGGAAAAAATCTAACTTCATATTTGAAGCATAAATATAGAAAAACAAATCCAAAACCTTGAATCCAACCTTCTTCTTTGGCGCTGCGATTGGCTCCGAAAATCCGAAAAATGGTAGGGCTAAATTCAAAAAACCGTTCTTGAAAAGTTCCAACGGGACATTTGGTAATCTATGTCCATCACCAATCATTTTATACAGCTCAACGCAGACTAATCCAGCTACAGCGGCTGTTGTCGTCGCTATAGCCGGGATTATGCGACCAGCAATCTGTTTCGTCTGAATTAATTTTAGTTTCAGTTTAAAGACCTTCCATTGTAAAAGAAAACACAGATCGCATTAGCGAAACTCTTGCCGGCAATTTTATCTTCCTTAGAGTACAAGGTAAAAAACAGTTCACGTCTAAAAGCCCTTACTTTCATAACATCTGCTGGTGTGATTTGGTAATTATCAGCGCGTAAATTTGAAGCTGCAGTGATAAATTCCATGTGATGATTAGTATCATCATCTTTTTCAAAGTCAATCGGAATCAATGACTTCGTTGTTTTTTTGCTCAGTTTAGCCAAATTCATCATGACCGATTGCAATTTTTCATCGACGTCATCTAAAATATATGAAAGTTACTAGTGAAAGTTAAAAGTTAAAAAGTAATACAGAAGGTGAGGACTCGTCCCTTAAAAGTCCTCATTTGTTCAGTGAAGAGAAAATCACGTTTACCATCAGCGATTGCCTTTTCTTCTTGTTTCGCTTCAGCTTCAGTAACAGCTATCTTTATATCAGACTTTGGCATAAAAGGTGGCGGATGGATCTGAAAACACAATATAACCTGATGGAAACGTAACGTCATCTAAAATATATGAAAGCTACTAGTGAAAGCTAAGAGTTAAAAAGCAATACAGGAAAGTGAGGAATCATTTGTTGAATGTTCTCATTTTTCAGTGAAGAGAAAATCACATTTACCTTCCATTAAATCTTCTAGCACAATAGTAAACAAACTTGTAAGTTTTCACATCATTCCGAACTTACTTCATTTAAGACAGCCAAAAATTTTCTCTTGTCAATTATTGGTGCAATACCATATTGTTGCGCTCGAAGGATCGATGCAGCCCAAACAAAATTGAAATGTTCTGGCTAGAATACGAAACTACAAGATAATTACCTTTAAAAAAATTACAATAGTGTACGATTATTTAACGGTATCGAACAATAAAAAGGATGCTGTAATAAGTTAAATTTTTCATAAGCTAGATTTCATAATAAATATGACAGCAGGCATATCTAAGTCATAATTCGTCTGGTGCCAAAAATTTCAATTGATTTTATTACTCTAACATATAACATAATGAATTTTTACCTCATCTGGATTGAAATCTAGAACATGTGGACAACGTTTACTACCTGACCAAAATTTAATCCCCTGTTCGGTCACTTGATCAGACGGAAACGTATGCAATAATTGTGCAATCATATTGTAGAAGTATTCCTACAAAAAACTCATAAGAGCTTTAAAAAAGTGGTCGTTTTGTAGCTCAATTAATTTAAAGATCACAGAATCCGCAAACCTGGAACTTCATCCGGGCCCACTTCACGCAGTCTTCTGGACTATGTGGTCTTTCGCGGATCAAAGCTTCTTCTACTTTGGATAATATATGTAGCTGAAATTAGTAGTCTTAAGCAGTATGACAGAGACTCATAAACCAAACCTTGGGAAAAGTTATCAACAATTTTTAGCAATCTCTTGTTCAGTTCCTTATAAACTTTGGACAGGTATCGCCATCAAAACATCGAAAACTTCACAATTGAACGAAATATATAAATATAGCTAACTCGCTGAGTTGTGTTCATTTGATCAACCCGCTGCAAGAAGCCGCGTTCATCAGATATAAATTGATTTGCTGTTTCTGCTGGAGTTGTGAAAAGGCCTTCAAATAAATCTCGTGCCCATTGTATGGTATGTTGAATTTCATTCGGGAAATTCTTCAGTGTACAAATTGGAATGTCTTTTTCCGGCGGATCAACCGATGAACTAGAAAGTGAAATAAATTCATGTGACAAATGTTTTGCGCAAAAATCTGGGACCAGAACTGTACTAAAAATATTTCATTGTCCTGGTTAAAGTGCAAGTCAATCTGCATCTTAATATGATTCTTGACATACCAAAAAAAATTGGTGGAATTAGTTGAAAAAGTGATTCCGTAAAGACATTACCTGTAAGATTCAGTAAGATGAGGATAAATCACTTGCGTGTTACCCTTCGTACCCATCGTTCCAGAATCAAGGAGCGGCAAACGATAGTAAATACAGCGACGATCCATATATCGACCTAAAATAAAGGAAGAAGTTTTCCGAAGCTGACGAAATCCAAAGCGAGTATAGCAAGGTGAAAGCAATATATGGAAAGAAAAAAAGACATTTAGAAAAAAATTGCACATGACAAATGAAATAGATAAATGCAGCAGTGTGAGATCGTCCCTGCACCATGCTGTAGCCATTATGTTATATCATGAAACAATTGTGTAGAGAAGTAAAGTATAACAAACGTGAATCAACATTGTCGAGTGCATTCAGTACACCGTTGAGATCGTTGAAAAAATCATCAGTGAAGATGCTCTCCGTATCGGCACCAACACGCTCCGAAAGTGCGTCAATTTTAATATTAGGATTGAATTTCTTTACTGCTTTAACAGCTACCTCAGACTTTTTACTCTAAAAAAAAGTTTTATTTTTAATCCAAGAAAAACTGGACAAAGATTTTTTCACTCTCAAATTCGAATAACTGGACGTAAACACTTAACCTGGGTAAGCACTATACATTCAAGAAAACTTACGCCAAGATCACTTCGCCTAAACAAAAACTGTCGATTAAGATTACTGATTTCAATCTGATCCATGTCTGTTATTTTCAGTTTACCATCAGGTCCACATGCTACACCCATCATGGCTAAATTCTTCAATAATTCACATCCAATAGCACCTGCAGTGGACGGAAACAAAGGCTTATGTTCAGTTCACAAATAGACAAAAGATATAAAGCAAGAGTTGTCGACGATCTAGTTCCAAAAAAAAAAAAAAACTCAGCAGCAATCCACACCTGCGCCAACAATGAAATATTTCTGTTTCAGAAGCGCTTCCTGATAAGCTCGTCCAAATACAGCAATTTGACCGTCATACTGACAGTTTTTCTGCAAATAAGTAGATGTTAAGAAGCGTATTTGATGATCGTTACTACCTGTAATTTAGAAGAAAGGATCACATGAAATGCAATTCTGCTGCTTTCGATGAATATCCAAACAATTCTAAAGATATCATTTTTTTCAAACCATCCCTAGCACCTTATTCACATAAAACTAGATGAAACTCTTTTTAACTTTGAAACTTCTCATGAGTCTCAAATCCGAAACCTACACTAAAATCTGTTGAAACCCATTATACTTACGGAAAGTTGAAAGATTACCATTTCGCAATCATTAGTCGTCAGCTTGTTATTATCAAAAGGTGACCAATCGCCTGGCAACGCTTCTATGCAGTCAATGTAAAGAAACTGTTTCAGCGGGGTCATATGATGCATAACAGCTTTCATTGCTTCCTGCGCAGCGATGCCACCAACAATCGATGCAATTGGTGCAAGATTACCACAAGCCTTAAAAATCCTCAATTCTATTTCCCTTGTCCAGCTGTTATGTGCTCTGTGAGTTTGTAAACGAAATGCATCCATCCTCTATATATTAGCACGGCAAAACAAAAAACATTGAAGCAACTACTTACAAGCGTAACGCTCTATAAATTTATACAGGAAATCTAGAACTTATTCTGCGGATTTGAAATTCTTTTGGAAACATTTCCAAAAATCTGAAACAACGGTATGGTAAATGACTAGAAAACTTATCATTCGGCACAAATAATATGGAAACAACCTGATAAGTAAAGATCCTTAGCAAATTTTCGTTTAATTCGACACCAGATGGTACTTCAATCTTGAGAAGTTCAACATCCTCATCGCTCCGTGGTGCAGGGCTTCGTTTATGCTAAATTTTAGTTATAAAGCTTGTTAAGAAATGGAAATCTTTCTTAAACTCATTTTAAAACGAAAGCTAAGAATGAGAGTTCGTACTCAGCATTTTTAATAAGAAAATTTATCGTTAACAGATCTTCCGTACTAATCAGTTTCAGTGGTCATTGTTGCTTGTAATAAAACATAAGCTTTATTTCACAACTTAGGAAACAAATATCAATAAAAACTAACAATACCTTATCTTCAAAGGAATGCAATGCTTGCCATAAGGCATGGAGCTGGGAGGGATTTTCGAATTTTGCGAAATCCCACATTAATATATCCGGTTCATTAAGTGATTCCTTCAGCGATTTGTGCAAAACTGTAGAAGGCACTTTAATTTGTATAAAACGTCCACCCTCCACATAAGGGGAAAACTCAGCAGCGACCTTACCGATATTGAACACATTTGGCTCTAAAGTTTCATTTAGTCATTGACAACATTTATAAAAATTAATATAATCCCACCAAATAAAAATTTGTTATGATTTAAAGAGAGGATAGACAATTTCATACCAACTCCCAGTTCTTTGTTGGCTTAATTTTTCGCCGCCTTGTACAAGATTTCCAGAGTGGAATTTATCTGTGATCAGCAAAATACAGCTTAGTCCAGATATGCACAATTTTAACACGACTTTTAAACAAAAACTAACTTTTAACTGTGATTTTGAGTGGTTCAATACCATTTAACTCAGTCATCCCTTTGACTTCCGAAAACGTGACGTAATCGCCATCCTCAAGACCATGCATCACATTATCTAACGTTGTTACATCACCTGTCTCCGCATCTACATGCTCAATCAGTAACTAAAACAGACAAATTTATAGCAGTCTTTGGATAAACATATCTCAAAAATCCTCTAAAAACTCGAAATGAAGTGCCAAACTTACTTCCTTACATCGTTCTCCATTTAAGTCATTTACTTTGAATTCTGCACCCACGTCGACGAATATAAAACCGAACAGTCCCCGAGAGTCAGTAGTTATGAAACGACGATTGTATTTGCGAGTCCAATCGTTCACCATCAGCTGTGTGGAGAGCGGTGCATCAGTGAGCACTGTTAACTGAAGAAAAATGTAAAGTAAATAGATGAAAATTCAAGAAATAACAGAAAATTTTTCTAAAAAAATAGAAAACAGCTTGAAAGGTCTGGCAAATAGAAGCTTTAACCTTACTGATTAACAAATAACTTGAAAAAATTCTTACAAATTTGTATCTCAAACCAAGAAGAATAACATTTAAATATAGCATTGATGCTCGTTGTTTCAAAAAAGAGAAACATGACGTACGTCAAACTGTTTTATGAAATTTTCACTTAGTGGCTCCATTGATAGATGACAAGTGACACTGTCATTCAGTTCGGCCAAGCGTTCAAAACTTGCTTCCGCTCGATTTCTTCCAATATCCGATTCCTTCAGGTAATACTAAAATAATTCTTCTAGCAATCAGTGGTATGACAGGACAAACATTTATATATAATCATTACATCAAAAATTTATACAACATAAATTATTTACCTTCTCACTATTACACAAACCATCTATTTTTCTGATTCTCTTAATTTTTTAGAATAAAACAATAACTTCTGGCTAAATTGTCCTCAAATACCTTGATTCCTGCTCTCAGATCACACCAATGATGCTGTCTGTATTATCTAAGAGTAGGAATCATGATAGTTGAGACCAACCTGCGCGCTCAAATCTAGCCATTTCGTATCACGTGTGTCATGGATTGTTACTTGACGAATACCACCAAGAATCAAATTTTTAGCGACTTCTACACCAACTGAACCAATGCCTGATATCAACACAGATGCTTTTCTCAAGTGCATCATTGCCGATTCACCCAGAGCATAACTGAAAATGGAATTTCTAAAATCCAACAGAACATACATTCATTATTTAATCTGTTGTGTTTTATCACTTGATTATTTTGTCACACAACGTAAGACCCACAGATGCTGGAAAAATAATAAGATATAAAAACTCAATCAAAAGATTTATATTTTGTCGAGATCTTTGCACAAGCAACGTAACATACATTTGCCGCGAGTAAAGATTTTTATCCAGGATAACATCATCATTATCTGCCATACCATTTTCACCGTTTACACCCATTTTTGCGAATTCGATTGGTGAATCGATTTGGCGCTGAAGAATGGTGTTTTTAAAGCACCTCATTTGAAAAAAATAAAAAGAGAAAACGAAAATGTGCAAAAAAAACCTAATGTTGATGGTGATAGTATATATCACTAAAGTAGAAAAATACAATTTGAAAAGAATTCAAAGTTAGTTCAAATGACAAAAGCAGCAAAAACGGCTATATCAAGCCACTAAAAAGGGTTTAGATTAAAAAAAAGAAGTGTTTTCTAATCCTTCTCTTGAGCAGAAATTAAGAATCGTTCTTTCATCAAATTATCCACATAAGAACTTGCCAGTTCACAGATAAAAGAAGCAGCTGGAAGGAAAGGGGATCTAGATATAAGATGCATGAAGACTAAATGAATAATTTGTATCCAATCCTCTACGATCGAAACATTGAGACACTTTTGAAATTGAAATACGGACGGTGTGACTCACGCTATGTAAAGATGGCGCACATCAGGTATTAACAAAAAATTACGAAATTAAAGTTTGATCATGCATCTGCTGTTATGAACTTTCCATAACAGAATTTTTAAGATGAGCGAGTCTTATTAAATGTATCGCCCGACAATATAACACCATTTGCATAAATATTAAACTTATATTTCCAGCCTTCTTGGCAAGTTTTAGGAAGCTAGTGCAGCAGACAGTATACAAAGATAGGTTGAATTTTACCCAAACAAAACAGTTGCAGGTGATTAGAAATGCCTTAAACAAATATTAAGCAAAATTTAAAAGAATGCATGAGTCGTCTTATCATTTTATCATAAAAAAGGTATGATATTTACGAACTATACGCATCACTTCGTTTTGAGAGGTATTTTATAGTTGTACAGTTGATATCGGCAATCAATTTTAGCAGTGCATAAGGCACGTCAGTACATACACACCATCAGTACAATGTACGAAACATACAATGTTCACTGGTGGTAGTGACGATAATTAGGGGACGCCCTTCCCAGCGACTAATTTATGAAAACTTTCTTGAGATCGTGAATTCCATTTTCTTGTTGTAAAAATATTAATTTCAATGTTCCAAAACAGATAAGCCGTCATAATTGCCGACATCAGTTTTGAAAGAAACTATTAAGCAGAAAATATGAGGCAATGAGATGTGCAAATGAAAATACACTAACTATAGTAAATCTTAACGCTAATTTCAAATTACGATTTCTTTCAAATCAGCGCTTACTCGAACTGAAGCCTTCCAACGATAAATTAACATGACTTGAGTAGAAAAATATTTACAAGGGATGATTCTGCACACTGTTGAGCCAACAACATTAAATAATTTGTAAAACATGATTTCGAAAAACATCATCCCAATACTTATTACAGCGTAGAATGTTATTAAAACTACACCATATAACGTATTTAGAGAGAGACCAGAAGCTAAGTTTTTAAGAAATTCAGCACGTCGAAAAGACCCAAAAGATGCAGTTCAATATGAAACATGAAGTGGACTAAATAAAAAAGTCAAACAACTGGCTCCTGTTTCATTCAGCAGCATCTAAAATCTAGAAGTAGTCGTGGCATTATGACGCACTACTGTGGACGACAAAAGAAATACGAGGACCCTTAGAGTATGTGTCAGCGAGGATTACTGATATACACATTACTTCAGTTAATTTGTTATCCCTTTACACTCATCCCTATCCCTCGACCAAATATTAACTTGACATCCTTCTATTTATAAACTTGTAAAGTGTCATCCCACTCGTTATTTTAAATACTTTTCATACGGAGTAAATAATCTCTGTTATAACTAGCATTTCTTATCCAAAAAATAAAGGTTCCATATTTCCGATATATTCTTACGTAATGAGATGGATGCCGTCCCATACTGTTTATTGATACTAAATTCACCAACTTTTACTCCTCAATCTAACTACTACTTTTTAGCTTGTTTTGCCTTATCCTATATAACTCTGAAAACCAGTACCATTTCAGAACGGATTATTTTTGAAAAAGGAAACATTGATCTATGCCCTTTTTCCATTTTTCAGGATGCTAATAATGATGACAGAAAAGCGAAGCATATATTCTTGTGCACTTCCGTCGAAATATAACAATCAGCTCTCTCACACTCACTACATTAGGTATGAATTAACTTTAAAGGAGACGCAGACTTATCCTAAGCTTATGAAGAAATAATCACAATAAATTTTGTTCACTAAATTGATATCTCAAGAAAAAAAGAAAAGAAAACAGAACAAAAAGAAAAGCAGAAAAAACTGAAAACTTAATTTGAAACCTTTTTAAGAAATACAGAACATGAAGTTCTGAAAAAAGAATATATATCATCCGGTTTCTCGTACTGACCGTAAAAAAACGGAACGTGACACAGAGGAAAAACGCACATCGTACGAAGTCGTCTAGCCCAACCTGATGGCTGAATGTCAGCAAAATTTCCAGATTTTTTTCAAGATCATTCGGGCAAAAGTTTCAGTTCGTGAAACACTTTTTTGCCATATTTTAAAGATATAAGAAATGCGAAGCTGCTATATTTTATTGATGAAAGAGATGGTTGAAACCAAAGGCAATGTGCTTTTGTCCTACGGTTATTTGTGAGCAATCTTAAACTTGCACAGTGCATTCTTGATTATGCTCTATCAGAGATATTTTATGCTCGACATTCTTTGAATTCACAGAAAACCTGGTTTATGTAAATCATTTAATATAACACCTTCGCATTCGTTTTCTTTGGTTTCAACCATCAGTTCAGGCATCAAGATGACTTACAGCAGCAATGTTTTTCGAATTGGTATTGGTCAGCTTATAGTCTGCATACATCCAACAATGCACACAGTGACACGGAAGATCGACTCTAAATTTGGGAAGGAAAACTTCCACTTTTGCAAAAAATGTAATAGAAAAAAAACTACCAGGGAATTCCCGAAAAATTCAATATTCAGATATAAAACCTCAATATATGCTGTCTAATAAAAAGTCAAGTACTATATTAAAGGGTTATTTAAAAAAATATAAAGTTAACAACTAAAAAATCATTCCTTGCATGTTGCAGAAGTCAGATGTAACTTGATAAGCTTACCTCCTGAATTCTCGGCCGCTTCTGGGCTGGTTCAGGCAAAATGGCTTCCTTCCTGTTTTCGCTTGCGGGATCACCCGAAAACATCAAGTCCTGACAGATACACTGAAATAAAGGAGGTTATATACTGGATTTACTGCTCCAGAACGTGCAGCACATGGTACGTCAACTACTATGCCATGAAAATTCATTAAATTGTTCCATGAATTGATTTCTAGGCACAGAGTGTCTGAATGTGCTTCAGGCGTGAGGAAGATCTGGAGGTCGCGATCGTCAGAGACGAAATCTGCACATCTTGAAAACAGTAAGTCGAAACTGCTTTGGAAGACTTCACATACTTCGCTTGAAGCTATGAAAAGGAGAAATGGACGAGATAGACAGACGATGTCTTATTCGTGGAATCCTTACAAACTTATCTGTTTAACAGTAATATACATAGACATACACAACATATGCACACTGAATGATATAACTTCCAAAACTCATCGGGAATAATAAAATTCAACATGTTTCATCAGTACTACTCACTTAGTAAAATATAGAGTAATGCAGCTGCATGATAATGCAGTGCACTGACTTCTCGAAATAGAATGGGGGGAGGGGAGAAGGGGGGGACCGTAGTCGGACCACCATAACCAACATCCAGTTATGCATATGAAACAGATTTTTTGAATTCGAACCCTCCAAGTCCACCTAACCAATACATTGGGCATCCTCCTACTTTGTTCGAAATCTTTCGGAAACTCATTCTTCTTCAGCTTCTGTGATTAAACTCTGTCATCTATGCAAGGACAGGTAATATGCTGAGTCTGATTTCGCGCAGAATAACCGATTCCATCCTTTTGTAAAATCAAGTCAAGCAAAAGAATCAATTGACCCACCACTAAAAAGTAGTCAAGCCATCGACAACAGAATAATCTAGAAGTTTCTCCGACCAAATGTATAGCAGCTCAGTTACCAAAAGAAGATGAAACCAACCTGAACCAATCGTTATTTGTTCGCACTCTTCCTGCTCGCGACAAGTTTCCCGAGCACAGCAACGGACAATTCTGGAAATGCGTGGATGGACGGCTATAGATTATTTATATTAAGCTCTGCTTCAGTACCTATTTCCCAATTATGCATATCTGACAGAATGAAATTCCTAAACGTAATTTGAGAGAATTCAGTGCTACAGACCTGCACAGTACCCGCATCATTCTCCCACGTAAACCTTATTGAGACAAGAGACCAATGACAAGGAGAATTCAGCAGGATATTGCCATACTCTCATCCCTTAACCCCGCACGCACCGCATAACTGATCGCATCACTCTTATTCCCTTACCACCATCGGAGTAGTCGTTGCATACCTTCATCGAATTACTGCAGCTCAAAATTGCTGCAGCTACGTTAGACTTATTCCTAAAGTTTTAGAACTATTAATGTTAAGATTAATAAGTTTCTTTCACATTTCTCGCTGTCACTCACGCTACACACCAGTTTGCTTTCCACACGGGATATGTCCTTTCCCTTCACTCTTCCACTTGAACTTGTTTTTGTCCTGTAATGGTTATGTCTGTAGGGAAAGCTAACCTGGTGAATTCGTTTCTCAGCGATATAGATTTATTCCTGATGGAAATTGTTCTTCACAATATTATTAGTTAACATCAAAAAGGGGTAAAATATATATATGTATATATATAACACGATGAATTGGTAAGCAATGATGAGTTATACAAAAAGCAAGTAATATAATCAACTAATAAATTCCTCGTCGTCGCCTTCGATAATAATTTGATTGTCGGTTAGTTGATAAGCCGTTGAGTTGGGGATATGTTACGGGAACTGCATTTAGCGAATAGAAGAATATCGTAGTTTGTTGTCCAGTGTGGCGGATATGTGAAGATGTCGTTGTTTGTGGTTTAGTCGTGGAGAATAAGCGAAGAGGATGTATCGTCTGCTCGATTGTAAAAACTGAACTGTTTCGGATTTTTCCATATGTATATATATGAGGACTGGGGAGGAGTTTGTAAGCTTTATCGGGATTATCATGGAGGTATGGCTAGTCTTTGGCATCGTCCATTGTGTAGGTACAATTATGTCATTGTCCATGGTGTAGATACGGAGACTCTTTTGTTTTACGCTGTCCATTGTTAGCTTATATCTTCTTCATTGTTTTAATTTTACAAGATTTCATCACCCTGTCTGTTAGATATTGTGGAAATTTTATTTGAACATAGCTTTAATTTCGGTAATCCTTTAATTTCGGTGATCCGACAATGTCTGCTAAGTAAGCTTTGTGCATCTGTCACTTTCTACATGTAAATAATTTACATATGTAATTATAGTTTACTTTGTGTACGTCAGTAGCCATTGGGTTACAGTTATAACAAACCATTGAAAGCCTATGTTCCGACTAGCAACAGTAAAGCGTGCTAATACAATAAAGCTTGGAAACGTAACATGAATGAATGAAGAAAAATCAAAATCGATGGTCTAGTTCCGCTTCTGCATTGAATTCAGCTGCTGTTAAGTAATCAAATCGAACATTATCAGGGCGAGCAGAGTGTCGGGAAAATTTTATGGAGAAGTTACAATTCTCTAGGGGTCAACTGAAGCGGTGTAAAGTCATTCGTAAATCTTCTGTAAATGTAAAACTTTTTTCACATCAGAGAATAGTCGTTGGCTTCAACTATGAGAAATCAATAAATATTCGCATTGTTCTTAACTTACTGAGAAAGACTTTACTACGTGACATAGCCTGGTATCATATCTATTTTATTTTCTTATATCACTGCCAAACATTTTTAGAGTATTTCAAATATAATTTTTCATGTTAAATTCTTTATAATGTTTCAAAAAAGTCACTGCCACTTGGAAATAGTTACTTGTAAATCGCTGCGTTAATTCTTAAATGTCTTTTCAAGCGGCATTCAGAAAACCAACCACGCACGTGTTATTGTGTTGTTTGATTAATAAGGGTATTTTAAATTTAATTTTTTGATGCCTCAGACAACGAGGTCGTTATCATAAAAATGAGACTGTTATTGCAATAAATTTCGCACTTGTTCTTCGACAAAGAGGAATTCAGCTTCATCATATGCAATAAGAATTTCATTTCTGTGTTTGTCTAAATACACTTTAGGGATTCTGATTCATATCCATGCAGGGGATTTCGATGTTACCCCTGAGGCGGTGATAGTCAGAAAATAAATGAAATAACAGTCAGAATAGATGAATTTTAGAATTTATACTGGAACTTCTTCTATGGACTGTATAACAAGATTAACATTGATTAATTCAAACCACATGAGAAAATCATCACTGATAAAAAGTTCGACATTGATCGCGTCTAAATTCTTGCACAATACAGATATTCATTCACCACAAACATGTATCGCACCAGTTGCATCGATCCAAGCGGTTCCCGCGTATATTTTCTTATCGTTACCAAAGTGACATCTGGAAAACGCAAACAGTAATTGAGACTTAGTCAAAATTCAAAAAGCAATTTGTCGAAAAAACTCAGGAATCGGATATCGAATTGCAATAATTCCTCATTTCCTCTCGAATCAAATTTTGGGATCTTATCACATTTCGAGGATTTAGAGACTTGGGAGTTCTATCTCATCTTCAGTTATCTCGAAGTATTAGAACGCAATGTGCATTGCGATGTGCATTAATTGAATTCCTTTTTACCTGTAGATGTGTATCCCAGCATCACCACAACGCATATCATAATTACCTTCTCTCCAAATCGCGTATTTCTTGATGTGTAACGATTTATTCATGATGTCATCATATTCTGTTCCATTAAAACAACCTAAATCGCAGTAAAATTCGATCCTACTGATAGATGGAAATCCCGTTCGCAAACATGCGTAATAATGGAATTGAAGTAATGCAAATTATTGTGCATTTATATTAATTTAGAACAGCTGATCTAGTGATGCGCATATCAGTAAAGTGGTAGCAGATCAAAAAAGCAAAATGAAACCTTTATTTTCAATTCTTGCCCTTTTGCCATTATTGTAGATATAACAGTTCTTGAGTTGTCCGTGTTCCAACAGAAAAAGCCCTTCTTTCAAAGTGTCACCATTTTTATCTAAGCACGCTATGAACCTACAACTTTGAATGTCATAGGAATAAAGAATAACATAAATTTGGAGTGCAAAGCAAGTATTTGAGGTAAACAGTTGGGCTTAAAGCGAAGTGGTTTTCCTGGATTGTGACTTGAAAAGGTAATTGCTGTTGAAAGGATATTGTCTTCCCAATATTTGATTTCCTTCCTCAGTTTCAGCACCATGAATTTTAGGAAGTCTATTGGTTGTTTCCAGACATTTATTTAAACTTACTTATTCGTGATACATGAAATAACAAAATGATTGTGATAGTACTCTTCTTGACCATTGCATTTATGAATGTCCTCTTCTCCGGATCCTTCCTCACTTTTGACATCATCGTCCATACAGGAATACTCGATATCATTTTCCCAGAATGATGGCGTCATAAGAGGTATCAAAGTTCCACGATCGCTTACACAGTTCAGTACCTGATAAGTCTGAAGTTATATTAAATGCACTCACAAAATCCCAAATTGTATTTCCAAAATTTATGAAAATTTGATTCAGAGAAAGAAGGATGGAAATGAGTTATGTACTCGACTTCAAAATAAACTTGAACTGAGAGTAAATCTGAGAAATAACATACGGTCAATAAATTTGAGAGAATAATGAATGAATACGATTTCCCTCAGATTTAAGCCAGAAAAAACTATAGGAGTTTAAAAACGAAGGCTGTTGAACTTTCAACTAATTCTTCCGAGCTTGTAGATTTGGCACTAGAAAATTATCTTAAATGTTTCTTGACTCATCGTTTTTGTATAAAGTGATTTTTGTCCGGGGTCTGGACAGCCGAAATTCTTTTTCCCTCTTTTTTTTTTTTAAATTGCTACAGTTGATAATACTGATAATAAAAATAAAAATCAGTAAACAATCGAAACAACGCAGATCATCTCTATGGATTTTGCAATTGCTGCCTCATCCAATATCATTTTAAATAAAAATAAAGGAACCAACCTCAATTTTACCCTTTCTACATGTCACGTTGAAATGTTCATCTTGAATCCAAACGAAATTTTCAGGATAATGTGACCCTTGATCGATGCACTGTGAACTGGCCGGTAAAAAATAGTTTAACAGATCAATTAGAAGTATTGAATGTTTGTAAAAAATAAGAGAGTAAGATTTGTTGAACATATTGAAATTCCAGGATTATCTTTTCTTTGAGATCTGTTTTAAGTAATCGTCCGTCTATCCGCCAGTCCAGTTAGTGTTACTTGTCCATCATTTCGGCATTCTTTCTATCTCAACTTTCCTTAGAACTTTTCCCATTGAGAAAGCAATGCGAAATGAGATCACAGCTCTTCACTTCCCACCTTGAAACATCTCCCATACAGACACACTCAGATTTTTACAGCAACTTTCGTCGTCGTCATTTGTTACCTACCACTACTAAAACACAATCTTTCTCACTTTTTAACATCAAAAAAATTTATAAGTTTTAAATTGACTATCAACTTTCTCTTATAACCAAATGCAGGCTATTATTATTATTGAGTATCTAACAAATGACTTCATCAGTCCAAAATTCCCATTCGTTTGACTATTTCCATCATTTCAATATTATTTCTGGTTGTGACAGATACTGGATCAGGTCAAATGCCGGATTTGGAGCTCTGGAAGAAAAAGAAGGAAAACATATTGTTGCTGAATAACTATTCACAAAAATAAATTTTGAAATAAAAATTGTTAAAAGCTATAGAAAGAAATGAATGCCATAAATTTTCAACCGAAAGTTGTCGAATTCAAAAAAAAAAAGAAAAGACTTTACAAAGTGCAAATTTCCACTGTCTTTCTCTGCCAGCATTTGACGAACTGTTTGTCTAGAAGCTGTTTTGTTAAAATTGGATTATATCGAGAGTCTGTAGTTTAGTCTTTTTCCTGCTTCATAGATCCATTCACATTTGGTGTTGTGATTAATGGTATGGTACCACTTTTAAAGTCCAAGACTAACCTGCTAATTATAATTAGACCGCTCTTTTCAAAAACTCGTTACATTGAGCTGTTACGTTGTCTTAGGAAATATTAATGTCACACCGAAGAAGCAAGTGGACATTTGCAGGATAACGAATATATTTCAATGTTTAAAATTTTATGCTGGATGCTGTTGCAAATAGACTTACTAACCGAACTAAAAACAAAAAGTTTTTAATTAAAATAATTTAATCAGAATAAAATAAACTTAAATGAGGAGTTAGGCGGAATCGAAAGTCAAATAAGTTGTAAAAAAGCAGCATAAAGATTCTGAAAACTTCTTTGTGGGAAGAAAAAGTAATTGCATCTGTTTTCTCCTGATAATAGACTTATCAGTAATGGCAGATACCTTCAAAAAAGCTATTTTATCCCTGAATAATTCATCAATCCAGCATCCTTAGACAGTAGCTAATTCGCTAAAGCAACTTCGAGAAGGCGATAAATTATGATTAAAATCTTTATGATGTTAGTGACATAAATTAATTGACTGGCAGATGATTGTGCATTAACATTTCAAATGAAAATATTTTGCATGCTGTAAAGGGGAGAGTTACTTGTCGAGCATTTAGTCATTTTTTCGAAATCTCAAAAATACTTTGCTTGAAGAATTTTTAACTATTGAACAATCCTTCTACAAGAAAAAAAAAGGGAAAACTAAGCACGTATCATATTGAAATGAAATTGCGAACAAAAATCACCTCTTAAATTACCTTAGAAGAAGTATACGGTATTTGCGACGTTTGATCGTTCAGGAATATTGATAGTTCGCAATTACATTAACTAACCTGACTACCACAGAAATATTAATTGTAAGACTAACAACAACAATACAAAATTTCAATAATGAACAGAGTGACAGCAGCATACAACAACAACAATAGTACGAATTATGGAAGAGGATGAAAATGAAAATACTTCGCATTAGTTGTATTAAATTTCAAACATCTAATTAAAATTGTGGGGTAATTTCGATTTTCGACTTCTTTGTCCATAAAAATTGGCGATAATATTTTTCTTTTGAATGTACATTTTATTTGTGATGATATTTTTTAAAAATGTAGCTGAAAGCTTTCTGTTTTTTTCTTTGTGCACTTTGAATTTGTCTTATTTCAATGAGAATTATTTCTAGAATTAAAATTATTAAAGATGCCAGTTACATTAAAAAAAAAAAAAAAAACGGTTGATAATGAACTCTTTTCTGTTTCTTACGGTTAGGCAATTGATGAAGACATTGTTTTCATTCTTTTTATACGGAGAATTTAAAGGCTGAATTTTCCCAAATTAAATCCTTTATTTTTGCTATAGAATTAAACCAATTAGATCGGAAATTTAATATGAACAGAATAAGAGGACGATTAAAAAGAGGAAAGAATCATTCGATTAATATCATTTGTTGATGAAGCCGAAAAGATTAGAGAAAATGAATATAAATTAAATAATATAAATTGGTGCCTAATTAGCTTATGTCGTGAAATTTTTCTTCTGTGGATAGTCCAATGGATTATTTGTGTTGCGTGGAACCAACTCGTATGAAGAAGGGTTTATTCGTCTCTGCTATATCACAAACAAAAAAAGCAGTAAAATTTGACAAGCTTATATATTAGGAAGTGGGTGTGGTTTTTTCCTAATTATTCAAACATTTAAAGAGATGTTGATTCGCATACATCGGAATTTGTGAGAATATTGTTATCAGATGTAAATTGGATAGATGAGAACCATGAACACAAAGATGTTAATTTGAATAACTAATGTAAGCAATTGAAAAGAAAGGCATTTCCTTTATACAAGGATAAAAAACATGGGAATGTGAATTTAGACAGATGTTAAGATGAGATAATTAAT